GAGTGGGCATAGGGAAGGTTAGGTACGGTGGTAGTTAATAAATAAATAGAGCAGACATCTCCAGGAGAGATGGGCGACGCACGAACACAGAGGGACAGTGCGCACCCCGCCCCGCTCGCAGGGCGTGCAGCACACAGCAACACAAGACATATCTACGCTGTGCGCCTCCTCGGGATTTCTGGGGAGGTAGAAGTGTGTGTGTGTGTGTGTGTGTGTGTGTGTGTGTGTGTGTGTGTGTGTGTGTGTGTGCGTGTGTGCGCGCGCGCGCGCGAGCGTGCGCGCGCGGGCGCGGCTCCTCAAAGAGCGAAGTCGAACCAAACACTGTTGCCTACAAACACGTGCCCGGGAAGGAAGGACGCACTCCGCTCGCCGAATTCTGCGCACTAGATGGACTCCAACGCGGAGCTGGCGGCTTCGGCCTCTGAGCTCGCAGAGGTTCGCTCCGTTGCCTCCGAGGCCGACTCTGAGATCAGCATGGCAACCACATTGCCCACTCTTGCCAAACCCCACTGGCATCGCGGAAAGCTGGTCGACAGAAAGTCGAGCGGAAAGCTGGCGTCGAAGTCGAGCAAGCCAAAGCTGGGAGGGAAGGTGGGGGACAAGGCAAAGGCCGCGGCAACAAAGGTGCAGGCGGCATGGCGGAGGACATCTCTCGCTGTCTGGCTCAGCATTCTCGACAAGGCGGCGGGCTCTGAAAAGGCCTTGAAAAAGGTGGCCTTGATGCTCCAGAACGTGGGCCCGGCCGGCGGTCAGGCGCTAGGCAAGCTCATTCTCTACCTCTCCGGACCCGGCACCACAGCACTCGCGCGGGCTCGGAAGCGGGCGCTCCTCGGCCTGCTGCGATCTGGCACGAAGCTCGTCAACTTTGCCCTCAAGACGGTGCTGCCGCGGTTCATGACGCCGACGCGGAGGCAAGTGCAGAACCAGCTGGCGGCGCTCCACAATGCCGGGGCTGGCCTCCCGCTGGGGGAAGAGGGCCCCGCTCAGAACTACACCCTCGAGATCCTCCGCGCTGATGACGCCGGAAACTTGTGGCGCCGTGTTGAGGGTGCAGAGGGTGGCGAGGCGCGGTACGAGCGGGTCTTCTTCGGCCTGGACGCGCTGACGTCGTCGGTGGCAAAATGCTTGGGCTCGCCGCGGCCATGCCCCTTTGACTCGACGCCAGTGCAGCCGCGCGGCTTGATCAAGCGCACAACGTGCCGCGTCGAAACGAGGCTCGTCAAGCGCGAGAAGGGCGTCTCGAGGAAGGCGGCTCGCGAGCGGCATCTGGCGAACGCCGACGTGGATCTGGTCACGGACTGCGCAGACCGCTACCTCGAGCAGATCTATTCGCCCCCGGTGGCGCAGGCGCTGCAAAAGGCCATCCCGCGCCGCGCCAAGTCGATGCTGGACTTCGAGTACCCTGTCGACTTCCTTCCAAGGGCGATGCGGGATGATCCCGAGGGCGTGATCTCCCTCGACCTCGACGTCGACATCGCGGTGCGGTTTGACTCGCCCGAGCCCCTGTTCAACCTCGACAGCACCGGCCTCGGCGACTTCACCAGTGTCGCAAAGGTGCAGAACAACACGCGCTTCGTATTCTTTATCCGCGGCCATCACGGCTTCCCCTCCCTCGGCACCTTTGAGCTGAAGAACTTCAAGCTGGAGGCGCGCGCTCTCGCTTGGTGGGACGTCTTTGACTCCAAGATCGACCTCGCTTTCACCAAGGAGGACCCACCAAAGGTGTCTTGGGATATTGAGGTCGCGCTCGGAGGCGCGGCGATGCCACTCCCTGACTGCATCGATGGCCTACGGCCCGTGCTGGATCAGCTGAGCAAGGTTTGGGGAGAATCCTATATTGGGATCTTCAGATATTTGACGGATGACCGAAAATG